TTCCAAGTGCTTTCCTTTATATGAAATACCTTTAAATATTTCAACACTTTTCCGGCCGGTGCATTGCGTAAGTTTTTACAAAATTGCCTTCAAAAGACCGAGTCTCTACGAGGCCCACACTGAATTGATAAAAGCAAAATTCAGTAAAAAATAAAAGAAACTGCCCACCATTTTTCGAAAACCTCTTGTGATTTAAGTCCTTTGAGTGCAAGGCCTCCTTTACAAAGCATGTGGAACTACTAAGAAGAAAACTCTCGAGCATATCCTTGAACTCATCTCTTTCCATCGAAATAACCCACGAAGTACCGGTTTTCAACAGTACAATTTTCAAGGTTTTCCTCAAGGAAGTCAGTCTCCGATTTGTTTAAAGAAGATTGATTGGTCGCCGCCATCATTACGCATTCTAGTGTCTTATTAAAAATTGCCTTCAGTTTTTAGATGTCATCCTTCCACGGGCTTTCGCAATATTCACAGGTTTTATTATTTCCCCGCCGACCAAAATTACCGTGTACTCTTGCCTTCGACGAACGCCTTCCATGTAGAGTCACCCGACAAGCTCTCCAGCATATTACACCTTCCTCGAGACCACCGAAAATCATACTTTACAAATTCAGGTGTTGTTTGTTTATCACGTCCCCGAGTCCCCGCGTCCCACGTCCCCGAGTCCCAGTCCCACATCCCCGTCCTACTTTTAGTCACAGCCTTTTCCTGGCACGACTGAAAGATGAGGGTGAAAGATAAAGTTGATGAAAATTGCATGGCACTAACTGGGAGTTTCATGGAATATCGCGTTTTCTGCTCGCTTTCATACCCCGCGCGCCTGGGCCATCGACCAAAAGGAAAGACGAGGTTGCATAAACCCATAACTTCCAGTATGAACCGAGAAACGAGGTTAGTAAGAAGTATGTACTTCCGGCAGAGGCCTGAGAAACAAAATTTTTGTTTTTACCCAAACTTATCTTTATTTTAAACAGATATCATTAAAACGCTATATTACAATATCTACATGCAAGTGCCACTGTAATCTCTCTGCTATATGCAATTCATTTTCCGACCAACCGCTGACCGCTGTAGGCCTGTAATTATATCTTACCAACCCATATGAACGTTTGCGAACCTCTATGTTTTCTTTAAATAAAACCACCGGCAGACTTCACTGATGTAAACTGTTCCCTGGCTAAACTACAAGTATTCCCTCCTTTTTGGTGACGTTCGTCGCACGATTAAAAAAAATCAGTGAAGGAGACTACTTTTACGGTTACAATAAAAGTTTTGACAAAAATAATTAATATTGTCCCATGAATTACCAATTTTTTGAAGAAAAAAGATTTCGAGTTTCCTTCCTCGAGTTTAATCCCATTATGATTTACATTTTATTTTCTAGCAACACTATTGCATAAAAATAGTTTAGTGTGAAGTCTACAAATGTCAGATACTTTCCCTTACAAAATCCATACTAACCTTGCAAGAATACCCTCACTTACATTTATCGTCGAATATTCATTTGCGAGGAAGACTGCTGACCCATGAAACATACAAAAACACACCTAAAAGGTTACCTAACGTACTCATTCATAACTACCAATAACCATATGCACTTTTTGAGTGCTTTTCCTTTGTTATTTGACTCGCGCGACGGACTTCGCCAGAAAAGGAGAGATTATCCGTTGTCTATTGTTCACGCACCTTCAAGAACCACATCGAACCCACAAGGATATTGCTTAACCCCTCAGTTTGATTTGATTTTACTTTCTATGAGCAGTGATACAATTTGTGTTGTCTCCTTTACCTCATGGATGCGTTGTGAATCGCGGAAAACTCTCCAGACAAAGACATTTATTCCATCTTGCACTTCATTAGGTGCGGCACGCATGTCGTGTCACGATCAATTTACAAGAACACTTCGATTATTTTCTCTACATGAAGAACATAATTATGACTATTATTATTATTATTATATGCGATGCATACCGTTATTTGGCAGGAAAAGGAAAAATCAACGATTATCGCCCATTTGTAAAGAGACGAACAAACTCTTTCTTTTTTTTTTATACCCACGAACATACATCACATTCCACTAAGTTGTTCCTCAAAATATCTATGTATATAAAAATGAAATAAAGCTAGAAGAATCTACGCTAGTTTTGTACTAAGCAGTAAGTCCGGTGTAACTTATTTACAGGTGTAGATGTTAACAATCTCTCGACACTTTTGACATTTTACCTGACAGCACCATAGAAATATACAATTACAATTTCTAACAACCTTGTCCTGTTGAATATTATGACCACGCCCACAGCACAAAAGCTCGCACCCATCGATTCCATTTGACGAAATATTGCACGCTCTTCCCGTAGTTCCTGGAGTTCCCTCGTTGACGTCTGCGTCACAGTAATTTGGCGACGATTGGTAATATATCAAATCGGAGTCCGAGAGTTTCTTCAAGCGAGTGTTCTTAGGCTTCAAACGTTCTTTTCCTCTTCTGTTCAGTTTGATTGTCATCTCTGCTGCTCTGTCAAATTTCTGTCTAAGATGATCCCCAACTTCCCGAAATGAGGGTTGTTGCATCCAGCATGTTTTCATTGAGCACGAACCGGATAAACCATGGCACTTGCATTTCTTCCAGACTAGTTTTGAAAGGGCCTTAGGAATAAAAATATATATAAAGTAAAGCGCACCAATCAGCCATTTTAATCTCAATACTGAACAGTTTTAACTTTATAATTGAGAAACATACCTTTAGGAGGTCATTATTTATTGCCGTGAGGGGAGGGGTGGGGATCGGAGAGTTTTAATTGTGTCACATCACAATCTACCAGACCCCTCCCCAACACCTTTCAGTATTCTTGCGATCCCTTCTCATTGGCGATGAATTTTCTATAGTCCTCCTTTCTTCTCAGTTTATCTCCCAAGATCTGAATGTTAATTCCCATTTCTTGTTACTAAACATTTCCTTGTCATGAGCTACAAGAATTTGGTGTTAGATCGAGATAACAACTTCAACTTGATAAGTCTGAGTATTCTTATTACATGTTCGCTGGATAATGTATGGATATTATAGGGAGAAGTTACATGTTAATAATTTCTGGGAATGAAAGGGTTAAAAGAGAAGAAATTTAACCTTTCGTCCGGCCTTGCTGTTATGTCTGTTCATGACAGCCCTTGGACTATTGCCTTTCGACCGCGCGTCAGTAAACTGTTCTGAAAACCAGCTTCCAAACTTGATGTTACTGCTGCAGCCTGCCCATGTCCAGCCCTTCTGGGTGGGACCACTCGGTGATCGGTCACAATCGCAACTCTGGGTATTCCCAGCACTACATGAAGCCGTGACAGCATGGGCGACTCCTGCTGCTGTGATGGCGTACAGAAAGGCTGATTCGCGACTGGCTAAGAAGAAAATAAGGAGATATTTACATGGCTATGAAAAAGATAATCACTTTATGTATAACTGCATTTATTTTGGACAAATACTAACGGTGAAAAAAAGTTCTGCGCTCAGGGTTGAATAAAAATGACAATACTAATAGTCATAATGATAGAAATTCATACCGCGTAGGTTCTCGTAAAATATTCAACTAGACTGCACAAAGTCTCATTAAAATAACTCATAAAGAAAGGCTAACAAATCACAATTCCAAAGTTTTAAAAACAGTTGTACAAAAAATGAATTGCTTATTAAAATTGAATTGTTTACTAAGTTGGCACTATGCCATGCAATATCTTAAATATAGTGAGTATTATTCAAATGTAACAACGATAATCACGAGAAGGATT